TGGGAGGGATCGAGGGATGGAAATATTTTAGGGTTTTGTGTGGTGTCTTTGACGTGCTACCTTCGAATCCCAAGTATTATTCAATTCATATAAAAAATAAAACACAAAAGTTAGTTAAAGAAAAAAAAGACCAATAAAAAAAAGATAATTTTGTTTTAAAAAATAAAATAACAAAAGTATTTTAATTATAAAAAATTGTCAAATTTCAAAAATTTAATTGTTTTCAGAAAAATTTAAGAACGTTTAGTTTATTTCATACTAAATAAAAATTTCAATCAATAATTCTATTTCATTAAAAATACCTAAATTTATCCTTGCTCTAATGAAATGTTCCAAACAATTTTTCAATAACACTAGTTTTTTTTTGTAAAATATATGTTAATTGTATCATTCTATCAACAACTTTTTTATGAAAAATAACAACGTTTGTAAAAAGCAATCTTTTTTAATTTTAATGTAATTTTTGATCTGAAGGATATAATCAAATGAAAGAGAACAAAAATCAAATTAAAAACTAGAAGAAATTCAAACAAATAGGAACTAAACCAAATAAAGTGAACAATCAATAAAAAATACACAAGAAGAAAGAACAAGTAATATAAAAGATAAAGAAAGAGGGATATTCAAATAGAAATAATTAATTTTGTTTTAAGTGATTAAAAAGAAAGAATAAATCAGATGTTAGAATTAAGAAAATTAGAAAAAGAAAGAGGGATAAAACTAATTAAAATAGTCAAGGGGTAGGAAATAACTCATATTAAAAGGGAAAAACTAAGAAAGGAATAAAGAAGTTTATCCAGTTAACAATGAATATGTTATGTTTTATTCTATTTATTAGTGTCGTTATGTCAAAGTCATTAGTTGTTGACCTTGTGAAAGGTGTAGATGGAGATCCTGTATTCTTTATGTCATTAGAATTTGGTAAATGTTATTATCTTGATGACTCAGAGTCAGAAATTATTACACACGATGGTGATAAAATTACAATTGATTATTACACTGAATCATCATCATGTTCAGGAAAGAAAGAAACTGATACATTTTATTTAAATGATAAAGACTTTAAAGAAGAAATTTGTGATGAAGATGATTGTGTTGCTGCAATTAAAAAAGCACCAAAACACATTGGGTTTGAAGGAATTGATGATGATGAAAATTGTTCTCATCGTGATGAAACAATTAGAATTTATTATACTGATCAATGTTATAAATCTGATGGTAAATATTGGAATTATGAAGTTGAAGATGGATGGATGTATTCAAATTCATATCCAAATGATAAATGTAATACTAAAGAAAGAATAGAGCATAACAAAGAATGGGAATGTGATATTTGTCATGATGATACAATGCAACAATGTGGAACAATTTCAACAATGATAACATTTGTTGTCATCAGTATTTTTGCATTAATTCTTTAAGAAATTTAATTCTTATTTTAATTTCCAAATTTCTTCATTTTATTCCAAATATAATTTTTCATATCCTTTTATCA